GGGGGAGGGAATTTGCGCTTTACGACAGAGGAGAATGCATGCCTTGTACTATGAAATGCATATCCGTCGATGATTGTACGAGAAGCGCAAAGAAATTTTATAGATACAGCGCGTCGGGCGCTGTATCTAGACTCAAAGTTGCCTCATATACACCTTTGTTGTCGGCCTTTTGGCTAAGATCAAGTGTAGTATCTACTTCCCATCAGTGTCATATCTGATCCGTGGTCCATCGGACCACATATTAAAAAAAAAAAAAAAAAAAAACGAGAAGCGCTGATAGCCAGTGTTGGCCAGATGCCAGGAGCGCAGCCTGGCCGAAAGGCGTCGGGGAACTTGCGCGCTTTCAACTGAGAACTGTAGTACATGCGGGGGGGAAGTATTGAAATCAGGGGGATGCGGGAGTGTGGTCTGCCACTTGATAAGTGCTGGAGCGCAAGCAGCCGAAACGCCTAGGGGAATGCGTGCGGGTTTTTTTTTTTTTTTTTTTCCCCGAATGTGTGCGGTTTTTGAATGTTATGGTGGTGATGGTTCTGTAACGATCTTTCTACGTGCATGAGCGCATAGCATTGGACTCGCTATCCCCTTCTTCTTCTTCTTCTTCTTCTTCTTCTGCTGCTGCTTCTGCTTCTGCTTCTGCATAGCGTTGGCCACTGTTTTCCATTCTTCTTCTTCTTCTTCTTCTTCTTCTTCTTCTGCTGCTGCTGCTGCTGCTGCTGCTGCTGCTGCTGCTGCTGCTGCTGCTGCTGCTGCTTTCGTCTTCTCCTTCTTCTTCTTCTTGGTGCAGGTTGGTGATGCCGAAAGGCGATCTAGGGAGAAGCCCCCTGAGGAGTGCCAGGAGCGCAGCCTGGGCCCATAAAAACACGTTGGGGGGAATTTGCGCGTTTCTACTGAAAACAGTGCATGCGCAGATGTGATGTTTATCTGTTGAAGCATGTGCGAGAAGCAGTCTATGGCCGCTGTTTTCACTATTCCTCCTCCGTCTTCTTCTTCTTCTCCTTCTCCTCCCCCATCTTCCTCCGTCTTCTTCTTCTTCTTCTTTTTCATCGTCTCCTTCGACATGATTTCTGTCTGCAACCCCATTAGAGACGCATGAATCTTTTCCAAGATCTGGTCATATTCTGAAAAAGCCAATCTATAAGAAAATAGATGAGCGGAAGATTTGTACATATACTCCCAACTGTAAGAAAAGAGATGAGCGGAAGATGAATGAATAGAGACGAGTAGAGGTGAAAAAGAGATGGATAGAAATGGACAAAGAGATGTATGGAGATGGACAAAGAGAGATGGATTAGGCCATCCCGTCTCGATCTGTTGATATCGAAATCATGTGTTGACGACAACAGCAGATGATATCTACTGGCTGGACGGAGAAACAGGCCCGAAATGCTTTTTATTTATATGCTTGCCTAAGCTACCAGAATGGCCCGGGGTCACTTGCCCGGCCGGGCCAAAAACATTATAAAAAAAAACTTTAAAAAAAAAAAATTGTATTTTTTATTTTGAACTTGGTGAAGAATTTCGATGTGACCCTGAGGCAAAACTTATTCAGTTTATATTTCTGCATAACATAGTTTTTTCCGTGTTTTTTTTTTTTTTTTTGCTGGGTCCTTTGCTGGTCCTTGCCCGGGCTGGCCACCCGGGACCCGGGCGGCCCGGCTGGTAGCCTAGGTGCTTGCATATTGTGCTGTAACCCTAAAATGTGCAAAACCCTCATCCCCCGCGCAAGTAACATTGATCGTACCCTGTTCCCTCCCTGGATAAACAGAGTCTCCCCCCCCCCTCCGCTACTGCCAAGTGGGGCAGGGGTTTTGTTCTTCCCTCCCCCGCGCCTCTTTCATATCTTCCTTGCTTTCATATCCCACCAATCACGATTAAAACGATAAAAAACAAACAAAAAATGTGCAGAAAAAGCGACCCGCAAGAGCGAAGCAAAGGAAATGCGTTCGTCGTTACGTAGAGAGCAAGAGAGAGGAGAAAGAAGAGAGGAGAGGAGAGAATAGAGGAGAGAGGGGAAAGAAGAGAGGAGAGGAGAGAATAGAGGAGAGAGGAGAAAAAAGAGAGGAGAGAGGAGAGAGGAGAGAAGAGAGGAGAGGAGAGAATAGAGGAGAGAGGAGAGGAGGGCAAGACAAGAAAGAGAGAGGAAACAGACAAGAAATAGAGAGGAAAGACAAGAAGTAGAGCAAGAAAACCGATGGAGAAAGAGAGGAAAAGGGAGAGAGGACAGAGAGCAGGGCGAGGAGAGGAAAGGGAGAGAGAGAGAGAGAGGAAAAGAAGTGGGAGAAGGGGGTGGGGGGGGGCGAGAGACAGAGACAGAGACAGAGACACAGACACACACACAGAGAGAGAGAAAGAGAGAGACAGACAGACAGACAGACAGACAGACAGACAGAAGAACAGATTCAGACGGAGTTTGTTTATCGTGAAAAAGGGAACGCGAGTCGAAGAAGATCCGAAGCAAGCAGATTTGTTGTTCCTTCTGAGAGAAAAGAAGACAAACGAAAAAACAAAGAAAAGGCAAGAACATGTTTCTTACCTCTGATCGGAAGAGTAGTCGCCCTTGTCCCCACGATTAACGCAATCAGCCGGTTGAACCGTCGGATCAGAAGTGATCAGATCTGCACTTGTTACATCCAAGGTCTGGTCACTTGTGCACTTGACGTGAAGCGTGAACTCGATCGAACAGAAGTCGCAACGGCCATCGCCGTCACAAGCATCGCAGTCGCGCGCATACTTCATCTCCACGGCGCGCTCGCTCGTTAGCGGAATCAACCCTAATCTGTGAGCGATGAACTCATCGTTGAGAACGGAGGAGTTACTTTCAATCTCGACCAGATCGATAGCTATCGTTGGAACCTCGGCGATGATAACACGACGCAAAGCGTTGGCGATACTCGTGTCTGTGTTCTGTAGCACAAACTTCATTACCTCGTCGTCACAGCTACGGATATGCACTGTCGGCATCCGTTGATAAGATTGCGAAGCCATCGTTCATTCAATCAATCAATCAATCAGTATGTTAATCAATCAATTAGTCGACCAATCAATACATCAATCAATATACCAATCAATCAATCAATCAGTATGTTAATCAACCAATTAGTCAACCAATCAATACATCAATCAATATACCAATCAATGAATGAATGAATGAATGAATGAATGAATCAATCAATCAATCAATCAATCGATCGATCGATCGATCGATCAATCAATGAGCAAATCAGGACAACAGTCAGTCATTCGATCGACCTATCAATAAGTCATTCAATCCATCAATCAATCCACAGATGGATCCACCGATCGAGGAACTAGTGAACAAATCAATCGCCGGGAAGATGACGACCCGAAAAGCGAGAGAGAGAAAGAGCGATTCTCTATCGCCGTCTTTACGCCAGAGTAAAGGAGGGAGGGAGGGAGAAAGAGAAAGGGAAAGACAAAGACACAGAGAGAGACAGAGAAAGAAACAGACAGACTCTTTCCCCGTCACATCACCGGTTTTACGTGTCTGATTCGGATCTCGAATCATACGATAGGCAAGCACAAGTTATGAAAAAGGGAAAATTTGTCTGGCGCCCCTGTATTTTGCGATAATCCGCGTCGCGCCCCTCCAACGGCCGGTTTACCCTGTCGCGCCCCTCCAACGGCCGGTTTACCCTGTCGCGCCCCTCTGAGCAGGGCTGAAATTTTCCAAAAGACCCCGGTGTCGTTTGGGCCTCAAATCTTTTCGTGACACCCCTACCGGTACCGGTCAGTAGTTTGCCGGATGCCCCTAACGGATGGCCGTTAAAAGCCAGCGGACAAATTTTCGAGATGCCCCTACCGGTACCATCCATCTTTTCGGCACGCCCTTGTTGAGTTGGAGGCACTTTGGGCCATTCGCCCGGGGCCTGTGAGGGAGCTACCCGGGCATGACAGAAATTTGTCGGTGGCCCCAACTGTCCGCCGCGCCCTTGCTTGCATACAACTACAGTAGGCCACTGCGGCTGGGTGATTTTAACCTGTGCGGCCTCCCTGCTATGCACATTATCCTTGCTCTCTCTCTCTCTCTCTCTCTCTCTCTCTCTCTCTCTCTCTCTCTCTCT